ATATATATATATATATATTACACTGAGAAATAAAACAGTTACTGTATTCTAAATAAGATGTCCCTATCTGCATAACTGATGTTTAAACTTTTAGTGTACTCAGAAAGCAGAAGAGTATGCAGATAAGTTATTTAAGAGATATAAAAACTTAGCGGTTGCACAAAGACAAATATCAAGTGAAGAAAAGTCGTACGGCAGCAATATGTATTATGGCGAAAAACAATACATTAGGCAATATACTAACAGAGATGCACTGATCTACGCTAATATTAAACATGTCATGGAATATTGGTAAGAAATGTACGCAATGACATAGATAAAATGTAAAAAAACAAAGCTGTATAAAAAATACTGATATAAATTACGCAAGATTACGTTTTATTCTATACTAATTCCAAATAATACATAAAGTGTCAATAAAAAAAAAAAAAAAAACAGCAATATGTATTGCATGTGAAGGTTTTATTTTTTTCTTAAAGCTATTGTAAACAGATTGTAAAATCTGCATAATCTCTCTCTAAAACTTTTATGATTATTCTCAATGTTTCTTTAATNTTTATCATCATTTCTTTTATTTAATAAGTAAAACAAAGAATTGTCGCTTTCATAGTTTAGTAAGAAATATATATGTATTCGCTTGGTTTTCTTGCAATACAATCGATTTATTTGTTTGATATACAGGTATGAGCAGAAGAAATGTTACTNCTATAATATTAAGTTGATACCANNACATTATAAATACGTGGAAAATTTTACTCAGTTAGTATGGAAAGAGTCGNAATTATTGGGTGTCGGTATTGTATTCAATCAAAACGCANNAAATTACGCTTTTGTATGCANTTACAANCCAAAAGGAAACGNCNNGNAAAANTACATACANAACGTACTTCCGCCCAAAGAGGTAAGAATTAATTGATAGTTTTNCAATATCGTACTTCGCGTTTAGTAAAGTGTANAAAACAAAAAAANCTAACGTATATACCAAACAATATAACTATTNAGAGATAATTAAACATTTTAAATATTTTATAACAAAAAAAATATTATTTTGTAAATATTATTAAATATTTATTTTATAACAAAAAATATCATAAAATCATTGAGAAAAAATTTTTTACGCGCTTTATATTCTTGCTTTTATTTTTAGTATTATTATATGTACTACGCACGCGTATTATTTTGTTTTGCGCCGTATCCCTAATTTTCATCACATCATCAAAATGTTTTAGAAAAAATCTGCATGCTAAATTATATAACATTTTCTGTTCAATGTTTGAAATAAAATCGCGCTCGAAACGAATCCGAAAAATCCGTTCGTAGAAAAGCCGTTTCGTTATTCTATCGGAGTTGAAGAAAAGAAGACGTGAATGCATTTGCCAAGAGTATTACGGTGCATTAGCATCACACTTTCTTATGCCGCGGCAGAGCCGTTGAGGCGCAGCAGTGATTTTGCCACATGCGCGCCCGGCGCGCGTTTATTTCACCCTTCGACGAGAACGCATCTCGGATAGAAGAGATGTTATTTTCGAACGAGATTTTACATNCGCCTGTTGTGCGCAACGCGCAGAAATTGTTTAGCAGATTTATATCTGCTAAATCGCNAACGATTAAAAATAAACAAATCAAATTTTTTTTTAGTGCGCGCACGCGTGCAAAGATATTTGCGTTGCGTCCGTGTGATGATAATCGGTAAAATTTTCTGCAACAGAACGCACAGGATAGAGAATTGTATTAATGGCTTAAAATCACACGCGATAGATGTATGTTCAATGACTTTGGGAGAAAAATTATTTTATACTGAAATATTCCCCTCGAGCGCGTTATATAGAAAATACGAAATAAAAAAAAAACAATTATCCGAGATATTGAGCGTATGAACGTACTTTCGTGAAGTGTCATAAATGGAGGAATGCCGCCGCGACGAGTCTTTTTTTAAATTGATTTAATCGAGTTTCATAAAAATAAATAAAACAAGCTTTTCAAAAAAAAGAGAATTATGACATACACCGTTTTATGACACAAATGGTTCGGAGTTTTTTGTGCATTTGAGAGATATTTTTTTTATCACATTTTATATGCGTATAAAGACCGTGCGCGTTTTCACGGTATGCCGTGACATTTGTATTAAATTGACGGCAATTAAAATTAATTAAATCTGATCATTTTATACGCGCGGAGTTAAAGTGTACTTATTTTGTCGCGCGAATTTCCAAGTGCAATCGCGTGTTCACACACGATAATGAGATTCGACGTACAGTCTATGCGCGCGGCGCTGAAAGCCTCGTGACACAGAAGTCCGGTTGTTAACTAATTAATTAGAACCGGTAATACCCAATACATGGCGCTNGGATTCGCGCTGATTTATTAGTTTGTCTTTGTAAAAATTCACAGCATTGGAATATTCGTTTATTGACTAGTTAAATTGAGAAAGATGGCATTGTTCGAGCACGGAAGTGCGATACGGAAGTGACTACAAGAAATATAAAACTATGACTATAAACAATATAAACCTGACATTCTTATATACTTTTCCTGGGTAAATAAATTAAAGTAATTACGAGAGAGAAAAAGGGAGAGAGAGAAAATAAGAAAGTTTAAAATTCTCTCAAAGTAATAAGAGCGTGAATATTATACATTTTAATTTATAACACAAAAGGCAAAAAATAGGCATTTTTTTCAAGTTCGAAACAAGCACCTGGTGCATAAAATAACGCGTTTTTCTGCTTTACTAACTTTTACGCACGCAATATGCTTCCGAATAACCGGAAAACGAAATAAAACACGAATATTGCGATCAACATCGATCTCCCGTACGAGAGAGAAGAGAGATCGGACATATATTTTAGACACGCGCACGCAATTTCCGCGGTAAGACAGATTCGACAGAGTCGTGTTAGCAACTTTGATCGCTGAGATGTGTTTGCGAAAATCCGTGCGGCTTACACGCGCAATATCTCGCTTGTCGATGCACGATCTTCGTGTGGTATATCTCTGGACTCTCTCAAAGACGATCGCGAAGTTTATTCTGTCACTGGAAATAGACGTGATTCATCGAAGTGCTTTCGNAGACATACGGTAGATTTGCACGATGACGCGCATCTCGTGTGTTTACTCGTTATGTAAAATCTGCCAGTCTCGCAAAAAAAAACACTCTTGATATGAAATCAATATCGAGCGTAATGCTAACAATTGTCTTTTCACACGTACCAGTTGTAACTCTCTTTGTTTTTTGCCGAATGAAAACATTTACAAAAGTTCAAACAATCGTGTTCGAATTTTTTATTTCTTGGAGCTTCAAATTGTAGAATTGATTTTTTTTTATTATTTACAATATTTTACGAAATTCCATATATAATATATAGTTACGAGATTTCATATATAATACAGTTACAGATTTGTTCATTATTTTAAACTAAATTATTGATCTGCAAAACTTTTCGATTATGAAAGCACGATATCAGATTTGATATTTAATCCATTGCGTTATCAGATATTTCAACCATATAATGATTTCGGCTCGTCACGACAGACAAAAATCAATTTAGGTCGCAATCTTGTTTCAACGTACGTCCCTATCGTACACGGTTAATTGCAATGCGCGAAGTTGCGCGGCAATAAATTTTCCGTTGGGACGCCGAAGGGTGCAACGTAACGAATTTAAAGTACAGCCCGATACCAGATACCGTAGCACAACAGTTTCCGCTTTTGTAAACGCGTTATAAACGTCTATCGACGAGCCNAAAGAGAAAATTAGTTATGCAACTGGTTAAATTAGTTCCCCGCGATCGGTATAGCAACATTTCTCGTGGCAAGCTTGCCATTNCAAATATAAGAGAGAGAGACGGAAACTTGATCAATATCGGTAATAATTACGTGTATTAAATAACTAAACCTCCGCATACCGCGATAATGAAGAGAAGTTCTAGTATTCAATTTGTTTTACCGCCGCAGGCAATAACAGAGCGCAAATTCGATATACATCAATGAATCGACAAATATCTTCAATAATAAACATAGTAATTAATTATAATTGCTTTTTGTTTCTTATTGATCACTCTGATTCTATTTTCATCATAATTCTGTTTTCATACGCTCACCAAAAAAAAAAAAAAAAATGTGTACTCGAGCGAAACACAAATTTCATACCTGGGAATTGATGCGCGTGATCTCGCGCCTCAAAATATCTATATGCGCGTCCTTGCACTCGGGACAACATTTTTTTGACAGTGCACGCACAGAGAACAGTAGCTCTTCTCGGAGCAAACACCGCAACGTTCCATGGTCTGGCCGCTGGTCGGGTCCGGTAACTCCCCCGTGATCTCGATATGCAATTCCAGGAATCGTTGTAGTGTCACGTTGGTCGGAAAGGCTTGCACACCCTGTGAACAGCACAGGGGTGGTATACGATCAGCTCGATTAACGTTTGTAATGTACCGAGATACGTCGCTTATTTAATGAACCGAAATTGCTACAACGCGCGAACAATGGAGCGTGTTAATTATGTACAATGCGCGCTTGTGACATTCCTTTATTATTAACGTTATCTGAACGAATGTACATACCAATTTGACGTCTATGAGAGAATGTTATCTACTGCAATGCCGCGTGTATTAAATGTCACGATGCTTTGAGAAAATTATCCCGTTATAATTGCACGCGTTTTCAGAGATTCGTCAATTCCCATTCAAATCACAATCGGNTGCGACGTGTCGTACGCAACGACACGAGAAACGATAAACGAATTTTTTTTAATTCTCCAATGCTCGCTGCACGTAATCACGTTCGATTATATGCCGAAAAAACAAAATTGAGCCAGATTCAGAGATTCAGAATCGAATCAAGCATTCGAAGACACTAGGCATTAACCTGAAACGCTCGAGTACATTCGATTTAATGAGAAGCGAGNGCATTTCAATTCGTCGTTGAATAAAGATGAGCTTGCACAAATGNCACAGTTAGGTTGGGCGCTTGGAGAAATATTTAATTTGCGCGAAGCAAACGCAAACCGCACGCGCGATATTTTCTTCTGCCATATGCGTTTTATCGTTCAATTCTCTGTTGAAAAATTATTGAAAACACAAACGCGATAAAGCGGCACGTAATCGTCAGAGAATACGCGCCGTTTTGCGACAAATGAACCGCGACAGCTCGTCGAACTAAAAGGTGTCTTATATGCATTTCACGAAAAATCGCAAAAAAATAATTTCGCTAATCGGTAATGGCATGTGATTTATTTTGACAATGCAATTAGNGTCGATCTAAACTCGGTAATAGCTATATCACCGTTCGTGAACAGATAGNAAGGATTATGAGTCNAAAAGTTTTATAAAAAGTTNACTTTGCAAGATTCGCAATAATTAACGAGTTCTTAATTAATAAANATGTGCAAATGAATGTGCATTTACGTGCAAAAGACAGTTAAGCGTTTCGCTCGCTTATGGTTAGAATTTACGCGCGCGAAAACTCTATAGAAGGAGTTAATATAAATATTATGCGCTTTCGCGTATTTATTAGTATTATATTTAATCATCGTTAATTATTGATTTTTATGTAATATGTGTTAATACAAGCTCTTCTCATTACCGCNCGCGTAGCGATCATAAAAAACTCAACGCTAAACGCTGNACTGTCTTTTGTACGTAGATGCACACTTACATTTGCAAATCTTTATTAATTGAGNACTCTAGTTACTTATTGCAAATCTTACANANCGGTACNAGACTCTTCGACTCGTTGTCAATATAACTCTCTCTATTTGCTCACACAAGCGGTAATACGACTATTACCGGACATCTGTATATATGTTATTGTAGTAATTACATTTCGAAGGAACATGTTAATGACGTCTTACTTGATATGGTATACGATGTTCGGCACGACATTCTGGACATTTGACCTGTCGGCGAACGTAGTCGACGAGGCCGTCCATGCACGGTTCCATACAGAAGCTGTGTTGACATGGCAATAGCTTCGGATTTCTGTATCGGTCCAGGCATATCGCACAGGTTAGCAGCTGCTCGAACTGCTCCATGCCTTGCAAAAAAAACACACATTTTCAATCTTATTCGCTTTATGCGTATTGAAGTGCCGCGAAAAGATCTTCTCTGAATTATAATTTACACAATGTTCATGTACGTGCGTTAAAAAAAATTATACTTTCACGTATAAAAATAAACTTTGACATTTCGTCGAGAGAGAGAGAGAGAGAGAGAGAGAGAGAGAGAGAGAGAGAGAGA